GCTTTTCTTCAAGTAGCAAAGGTAGCAGGAAGTCAGTGTTCTCATCAAGCAACAAAAGCAGCAGGAAATCACATGACAGCAACAGCAGCAAGGAGTCACATGAAGAAAGTGCTTCTCTACGCCGCAAAAACACTAAGAAGTCTAAGGCGGAGGGCAGCCGAAGATCAAAGGATGGTAAAGCTCCAATTGATCGAAATAGTAGCAGAGAATCATATGATGGAAGTGAATGCTCAAGCTCAAACAGGAAAAGCAGAAGGAGATTCCGAAAACGAAGTGCTTCTCATGAGAGCAACAGCAAGGAAAGTCCTCGCATAGATCGCAATAGCAGCAAAGGATCACAAGAGGGAAGTGTACATTCATCATGAGAACCTCCATCCACATTCCATTTCCACCCCTGACCATGCTTGCTTATATTGCCTTTGCAATTTACGAAGATTTGGGTAGGCAGTATGATTGGCTATATGTTTTGCTCCAAATGCAAACTGGAAAATTTAAGTTTTTTTTTCTCTTCATTTTTTTTCATTTCAATGTTTTGATCTGTGTCTTCACAAACGGAGAAACCTCCCTTATATTGATTAGTTCAAATCAAATACAAAGCCATTTGAGAAACTTTGCGTCTGTGTGCTCTTTGGGGGAAGAGAAGCTGAGAAAGTGATTATGTATGGCTTGGTGGAACTAAATGAGGAAGAATGTTATCATAAATGTCATATGAATTATGGTAGGGCTCTTCTAGCATGTCCCCTTAAGGCACAGTTTAAAAACACTTTTTTAAAATTAATTGTCATTGAAAAAATAAAATTTAACATTTATTTAATCAATCAACCAATTAAAACAAGACATGTAGTATTGGTTATAAAATTAATATCAATTTTTGTTACTTTTTATACTAATTAATACAAAAAAATATATATTAATTACACCCTTAACATATGTCCTCACAAGTTAGATAAATCCATTATAAGATCATAATTATATGAATTGCGATGGGTAGAATCGATTATAATTAAATGAATTTTGTTCTTAAGTTTGTGATTCACCTGAATCCACTTTATATCTTTGTAATTGATGATGATTTGATTAAAAGAATTCTCCAAGGTATTCTCTTTCAAAAAAAAAAAAAAAAGCATATATATTATAAGAATGAAAAAAGTTAAAGTGTGTTTCACCTTGCTTAGATTGTATATCTTATAACTACTAATAAAGAGACAAGTCTTTTAATATTAGAAACCCAAACTACTTTTCTATCAATAGTAAAAAAAAGGCACAATTTGTCCAAAACATACTACAATCAAACAAAATCATCTTAAGAGAAATTGAGAATAATTTTTTTCATTATGAATTCTGCTTAAAAACATTAATTTGAGGTGGCAAAACATAAAAATGTCATCAATTAATTAACCTTCGGGCATGCTCAAACTCATTAAGGACATTTTTACCTTTTCGATTTAGAATAATTTTATTAAGAATAGGACAGACTAAAGAAAAAACATTTCTCATAGATTATTTACTCCATTTTATTATATTATTTTTTGCTATATAGATTACATTTAATTGAAGAAATTACTCTCAGCAACTTTGGCAGCCCCAGGAGGAATGTCGTCCATGACTTTCTCTTGGCCCTTGGGATAATAAATCCCTGTGCGCTCGTGGGGAACCCAGCTGCTGCTATCATTTTCAGCCTTGGACCCTTTGATCTTATTATAATTTGCTTCCTCTCTCTCCAGTTTTGAGGACTCACGCACCGTGTCTGCACGACTGCTTCTCTTGTGGTAGTCGCGTTTTCTCATTGTTGGCCTGCATGCAGCACATGGAGTTCATTTTTTCAAATTCATTTTTCAGTGGTTAAATTAACAGCTAAACGGAATAGTCCCAGCTTTCTTAGTATTGACTTATGAAACTGCACAATAAATTATAATTAATAATTTTAAATTTTAAAAATCACTAACAAATACAACAGGTGTGAGGTGTCCAACAAAATGAAATAGTTATTTTCTGATGTACAACTCATGATATAGTGAAACCAGAATTTATTAGTAGTTGTGGCCTATACTCAGCTACCCAATCCCAATGACCCAAAAGGCTCCCCAAGAAATCTTGCATATTTAATCATATTGTCTAAAATAAACTAGCGAATCTATAAATTTAGCAAAATATATATATTGTTTGGTTGTGAAGAAACACCTAGAACATTAACCAAAAAAAAAAAAGGGAACTCCATTCAAATTTAAATACAATTGATTATCCCCTCCTC